GAACAACAGAAATTTATTACCTCACAGTTCTGTAGTTCAGAAGTCCAAAACTGATTCCACTGGGCTTAAAATCAAACTTTTAGAAAGGCTTTGCTGCTCTGGAGTCTCCAGGGGAGAATCTGTTTCCTTGTCCTTTTCCAGTTTCTAGAGGTGCCCACATGCCTTGGCTTATAGCTCCTTTTCTCTCCCTTCAAAGCCAGCAAAAACAGGTTGACTGACTTAGTTTTAAGGACTCTTGTGATTACATTGGGCTCACCCAGATAATCTAGGATAATTTGATCTTATATTAATGTAATCACATCTACAAAGTCATTTTTAAAATTCTTATTTAAATTCAGTTAATTCACATTTAATGTATTATTGGTTTCAGAGGAAGACGGCAGTGATTCATGAGTCTCGTACAATACCCAGTGCTCATTTTGACATCTAAAGCAAAAATTCACAGGTATCAGGGATTAAGATCTGGACATCTCTGTAAGGGAGAGGGCTTTATTCTGCCTACCATAGTAATACTGATTTTGAATGCTACAATCTTGGTAACCTCTCTTATGAATTCTTATCATTTATCTTTAAGTTCTTTTAGGTCGTCTTCATTTTCAATCAAATCACTTGCAAATAATGAGTTTTGTTCTGTCCTGTCCAATGAGTGTGTGTGTGTTTTAATGGGAGAGTGTATGTGTGTGTGTGTGTGTGTGTGTGTGTGTGTGTATTTTTCATACCAAAAAAAATGCCAAGGTAAAACAAAAAGAATGGCTGGGGAAAATTTTTTTTAAAAACCCAAAATACTGGGTAGGACTTCCAATATAACATTAAATAGTAGTGATTATGTCATGCAATTCTGTTTTGTTTCTTATCTCTAATGGAATACTTTCAGTATCTCACCATTAAGCATAATATTTGATGTAGGCTTTATTTCTCCGAAATTGAGATGAGCATATGATTTTTCTCTTCTAATCTGTTAATCACATTAATTACATTAATTGATTTTCTAATGTTAAACTAGCCTCCGTTTCTGAGAAATACCCGACTTGGTCATGCATTTTAGTAGTTATGCTAATGAGTAATTATGAGCCTTTTATTTCCTTTCATGTATGCATTATCCTAATTAGGTTTTGCAGCTAGGTTATAACAGCGTCATAAAATTATTCACAGAAGGTACCTACTTTTTCTATTCTTTGAAATAGTTTGTGTAAGATTGGAATTACTTGTTACTGCATTGTTTTTAATAAAATTGCTGAATTTCCAAACTTAAGCTACATTGTGAAGCTCTGTACATTTTTCAACATATCTGTGTCAATGCTTTAATATTTAATTATTCAATGGAGGGCGATTGGAGGTATGAGCTCTCTCTCTCTCTCTCTTTTTTTTTTCCTTATACGGAAACTGAAGCTAAACAGGTTACGTATATGCCTAAAGATCATATCAGTACTAAATGACCTATCAGAACTTGAATTAAGACTTCTCGGCTCCAAATCATTGTATAACACTACATTCTCATTGATACTCTCCAGAAGTATTGATATCTTGGCTGCCACGCATTTACATTTTCTCAAAAAAATTTTTATGGTGTCTCTATTCCTTTGAAGTATTTCTTGCCGTTGCTTTTCTCCTTTCTTTCTCCTTGCCCCGCTACTTCCTTATTTCTTGTATGCTGGGCTCTCAGAGACAAAAATAGGTTACTGTTTTGTAACAGTAAATATGCTCTGAGTGTCTGAGGGACATTCCTAGAAGTAAGGAGCATGAGCTTAACCCTGGAGATTTTATTATTCTAAGGAGATTTATTTTATTATTTAAGGAGATTTTATTATTCTTTTTGTTTCTCTTAATTTGCTAGACTATTCATTACCTTTATATGTCCTACACTTTGCTACTGAAAGTGTAGTTTGTGGACCAGCAGAATTGGCATCTCCTTGGTGGCAAAGCAGGTCCACCCAAGAACCAATAAATCAGAAACTGCATTTTAGCAAGATAGTTTGGTGATTCCTATGGACATTAAAGTTTGAGAAACATTGTCCTATATCACCAATTAGACTATAGGATATTTGAGAACTCCTTATACCTTTTCATAACCCCCAGTTCCAAGCACCATGCCTTATGCAGAGCCACACACTCATGAAATGAAGTCTGTGATCATGATTTTGTAAAACACATGGCAAATCAGAATCCTCAGCTCTGATTTTGACTGTGTCAAGAACTCCATATATCGTTTAACTTCAATAGCCTTCAGTTTCTCATCAATAAAATGAAGGAGAATAATTACATTTTTTTTCTAAAGAACCTTCCTCAAATTCCAAAATGCTACACTATGACTGATAAATATCTTACAATTAACTTAATTAATGTTGATAACAATCAAAATTGTTCTGAGGTATTTTCTTTGCAAAAAATTCAACATGATACAATGGTGTTAAATAAAATATATATTAAAAAATATCACTTCCATCCAAATAGGTTGTTATTCTTAAGATCTCAGTTGGAAAAGATAGCTTTGATCAGATGCCTTTTCTCAAGCAACAAAGCAGTGCAATAAAAGGGCCAACACTTTGTGTTTCTAAAGTTCAGGTTCAGTAGCCTGGTATGATGGCAAACTGGAAATTGCAGTGTGGGAAAACATAGGAAGGGATGCCTTGATTTCATGAACACTATGTAGGATTATCAAACCGAAATTGACATATTATACCTTAGCTGCCTAGAATTTCAAATCTTTCTAGCAATTTTGTATTCATTCTCACCTTTAAGATATCCGAAGTAGAGACAGGGTAGAGATAACAGAGTTAAAAAATAAAAAGATTGCCTCAGTTGAGAGTGTATCTGGTGGACCCACAAAATGGAGACATTTCATAATTTGACCTGCTCTTCTATCACTGGAAACCACCCCCCATCTTCTTGGAGAAGAATTCGTACTTGGATGTTATTGTTCTAACTACATCATAACCATCATTGTGGAAACCATTGTTGACAACCCACAAAAGAATGAAATTTTATTCATGATTACCACTTAAAGAGTTTTGATTCCTTCGACCTTAACATCTACTTGTTTGGCAATTCTGTTCCCTAAATTAGACATTTGGTATACTTGGTCAGCCTTGAAACTTCAAAGACAACAAGCTGTCCAGCCATCTGCATGACTGTCATTGAAGTCCCCTGTGTTCTCACAGATTGCAGCTTGTCTGTTCTGAAAGATGAGCTACAAATCTATTCTGAGCCTGAGCAAAGTATCTGACCAGTCTCAGAGCAACCCTGACAGTTACTCATAAGTCTAGCAGTTCCCATGCAAAACACCAAACACTACTGACAAAAGTAAGGCTCATGGCAAACGGTATCTTCCATACCATTTTGAAGAAGCACTATTGTTTCTTTCTTTATCCTTATTATTTGCCTGTTTTGTGATTATCTTATGGGGGGGGGGATAAGACAAAAAATGCCTTGCAAACGTCTTGCTTTGGCATTGTCCAATTCAGCCTGTCACATGCATGTACGGTGTTTGGGAGTCGTTGCTTTGTCCTGCTTGTTTTAAATCTTTTTTTTTTATTTTATTTATTTTTTTATATACGATAGTCTTACAGAGAGAGAGAGAGGCAGAGACACAGGCAGAGGGAGAAGCAGGCTCCATGCACCAGGAGCCCGACGTGGGATTCGATCCCGGGTCCCCAGGATCGCGCCCCGGGCCAAAGGCAGGCGCCAAACCGCTGCGCCACCCAGGGATCCCCTGCTTGTTTTAGATGGGTAGGAAGAGGGCATAAAGTAAGGATTTGCAGAGGTTACTCCCGAAGGGGTTTTATTTTCCCATAGAGGGCAAAATACACCCATCTCAAAATCAGAGTATTTCAAGTCAAAAGGAGAGCCAAATTCTCTTCTTGCTTTCCACATGAATTAGCTAGGTGACCCCGGGCAATGACTTTAACCTCTAAATCTCATCTGCAAAATGAAAGCTTTGGTCTACAGGCAGCTATCCGAATCCCTCCTCCAACTGCTCCTCCATTCCGTATCCAATCCGTGCCTACTACGTGCCACCAGCGCCTACAACGCCGATTCTTGGAGAGCTCAAACCTGTGCCTCCACTTCTTCACGCGTTCGCTCCTCATCCTCCTTCAAAAGCGGGTCCTGAATTCTCCAAGTGGATTGAAACACTTTTTTTTTTTTTGTCTGAAAATACACACCGCGGGGGAGGGGAGGGGAGGGGAGGGGAGGGAGGGAGGGGAGGGGAGGGAGGGGAGGGGAGGGGAGGGGAGGGAGGGGAGGGAGGGGAGGGGAGGGGGGAGGTTAGAAACGTGGCGATCGCAGTCAACCCACAGGGCTGGCGGGCTGGTCTTTCTCTGCAAAGGGCACGCTCTGCGTGGTAAAGGGCTCCCCAGTCACCCGGAGAAGCAGGACTGAGAGGGCGCCCGGGGTCAGCGTGGGACGCCCGGCCGCTGCCTTCTCGGCGGAGGCAACCTGGGAAACATTTCTGGGCTCCGTCCGAGTCACGCGGCAATTCCACGGCAGGAATTGTGCAACCGGGCGAGTCGGGCGGGCGGCCGGGGTGGAAAGAAGCGGGGGAGGGCTGCCACCCGGGCCAACTTTTCTCCTCCCTAGGGAGCCGTGGGGCCAGACGGCGCGGCCGGGCCGCGGGGCTCCGGGGGGCCCCAAACCCGGGCCAAGACAGCCTCGCCCCGCTGCAGGGGCCGCCCCCGCGCGCGCCCCGGGGACTCCGCCGGCGGGAGTGGGGGGTGGGGAGCGGGGGCAGCGGGCGCGGCGGCGGCGGCGGCGGGGAAGTCCGGGCCCCGACTTTCGGTTAGAGCACGCGGGCTGCCGGGCTGCCGGGCTGCCGGGCGCCGCGCCCCGCCCCCACCCCCGCCCCCGCCCCCGCCCCCGCCGGCCGCGCTTTCGGACGGTGACGCAGCCGCCCGCGTCCGCAGAAGTCGGCGCGGAAGCCGGGAAGCTCCCGGGGCCGCCGCAGCCTCCCGCCGCCCCCGCGCCCCCGCGCCCCCCGCGCCCCCGCGCCCCTCCCCCCGCGGCCCGCGCCTGCGTCTGCGCCTGCGCCGGGGTCGCCGGGAGCCCGGGGCGCTCTCTGCGCGCGTCCTCGCCGACACAGCTTCGGTCGGGTTCGTGGCTCCTGTCCCTGTCCTAGCGACGTGCGTGCCAGCATTAGTCACTTAGAGGTGAGGAAACAGGCCCCAAAACATCAAGTTACGTGCTTGAAGTCACACAGAAGGCAGCAAATCCAGCTCTGTCTGGACACAGCTACGCCCCGGGTCTCTCGGATCAGCCCCGGGTTTGCATTCCAGGTAACAGGTGGGACGAGGGAACTGAGAGGCGGAGCCCCTCCTCTCGGGGCAGCGGGGGCTGCTCTGCTCCTGGCTGCTGCTCGCTTTGGCCCAAGGGTGTCGTCGAGGTATTTTTCTCCGTGCGTATCACGGAGTGAGCAAAGTCGGGAAGCGTTTCGCAGACCTTCTGCCCCTACTCTCAAACCATATGCTGGGATCCATCCAGGACACCTAACGTAAGAGAGTTGTTGGAGGATTAAATAAGACCGTGTTTGCACGGGGGCCGGCACCTCGAGGATCCTCAGTACCTGTTAATTGTCTCTTCTTTTTTTGCAGCGTCCCCGGGGACATCTGGGCACCCCCCCTTCTAACACTGCAGAGGGGACGCAGTCATTTTAGGTCAGTACCCTCTCGGACAGATGAGATTTAGTCCACTCAAGGGGAAGATCACTTACCCCCATCTCCATCTAATTAGTGACAGAAGGCGAGCTAGGGGGCCCTGTCCTTTGGAAGCGTGCAAGGGCTCTTGCCACCTCACCCGCTTTTTCCTCCCAGAAGCTCTGAGGCCAGAACGTGACTTGACTTCGTCGGAGACCTGATGACGGTGATGTGGGCAGGGACCTCCGGGAAGGAGGAAGTCAAGTCACCCGGTTCACAGCTGGCCTGTCTGCCACCCCCTCCAGAGGGACCCAGCACCTCAGCCTTGCAGCCAGCCCTACAGGCCTGGCCCTCCTTCCTGGCTAGGACTGGGCCTCTTTTGGTGGAACTACAGCCCAGTAAAAGAGAGAGAGAGAGAGAGAGAGAGAGAGAGCGCTGGGGGCAGAAGGGGGGGTGGCTTCTGGCTCAGGAGGGTCCAAATAAATGTAAATGAGGGTAGGAAGAAATATGCTGACTTTTGGATTTTTTCTTGGATGGGACAGACTCCTTCCATGGCAAATGGCTTCGGGGTCAACGCAAAATTTTGAGAGGAATTTATCTTGAATAGTGAAGCATACTAATACAAGTTTTCTAACATCATCAAGTCTTGGGAACTGTTTGGGTTTTTTAGTCAGCACTGGAGCAGCTGTTTTTCCCTTCCAAGCCTCTATTTTGTGAAATGAGGCTAAAATACCTGGGCAGCCCTTTCCTTTGGGCACCCTGGAATGCTGGGACTATGAATGGCATCTCAGAAGAGCTAGAGCTCCAAAGGGCAGTTGGACCATGAAAGGACAGGACTCTCTCCTTTGAAAACAAAGTGCTCCTTTTTTAATCACAAAAACAATTAGTACTTATTGTACAAAGTTAGTTTTTTTTTTTTCAGCATCAGAAAGAAGAAAAGGATTGAAATCCCACACCAAGTAAACCATTGTTGACAACGTAGAGCCTTAAATGTAAGCAGACTGAACGGCTTTTTTCCTTGAACAGCCTTTTTTTCTTGAATAAAATATCATGACATGCTACTAAATTTTTTCCATATATGTATTAAATGGGTACTTAGTATTCCATTACGTGTTTATTTAGCTAAAGTCCAATTGAAGGATTAAAATTGTGTCCTGGATTTTGCTATTAAAACAGCAATGAAGTGTGAGCCTTGTAGCTAAATCTTTGAGCACATTCTCAATTATTTATATAGGTAAATTTCCTAAGTGTGTTGTTTCTGGGTCCAGGAGTAAAGATTGCTCTACAGTGACCTTTTAAGCTTGATTCTCTCTACCCTATCCCCACCCAGTGTTTTCCCAGACTTTCTGTACCATTTTTTCACCAAGAATTTATTGAACACTCATCACATGCCAGCCGCAGCTTGATATAGAAATGAATATTTGTAGCACAAAGTGCATAAATGTCAGAGAAAGCTTTGGGTAGTCAGATGCCCAATTGAAGAGGGTCTTAAAAAACCCATTGAGTTTTTTAAAACATTCAATTTAATTAACATAGAGTGTATTACTAGTTTCAGGAGTAGAATTTAGTGATTTATCAGTTACATTTACATCAAGTGTCCTCCTTAATGCCCATCACCCAGGTGTCCCATCCCCCAACCCCATCCTCTCCAGCAACCCTGTTTGTTTCCTATAGTTAAGAATCTCTTATAGTGGGCAGCCCGGTGGCTCAGCGGTTTAGCACTGCCTTCAGCCCAGGGCATGATCCTGGGGACCCAGGACTGAATCCCATGTCAGGCTCCCTGCATAGAGCCTGCTACTCCCTCTGCCTGTTTCTCCCTCTCTCTCTCTCTCTGTGCCACTCACTCATGAATAAATAAATAAATAAATAAATAAATAAATAAATAAATAAATAAATCTTAAAAAAAAAGAGTCTCTTATGGTTTGTCTCCTTCTCTGATTTTGCCCTGTTTTATTTTTCCCTCCCTTCCCCTATGTGCATCTGTTTTGTTTTTTTAAATTCCCCATATTAATGAAATCATATGACATCTGTCTTTCTCTGGCTTATTTTGCTTGGCATAATACCCTCTAGTTCCATCCACATCTGCAAATAGCAAGATTTCATTCATTTTGATGGCTGAGTAATATTCCATTATACATATCTGTCAATGGACATCTGAGCTCTCTCCATAGTTTGCTATTTTGGGCATTGCTGTTATAAACGTTGGGCTACATTTGCCCCTTTGAATCACTATGTTTTTATCCTTTGGAAAAATGCCAAGTAGTGCAATTACTGGGTCATATGTAGCTCTATTTTTAACTTTTTGAGGAACTTCCGCACTGTCTTCCAGAGTGGCAGCACCAGTTTCCATTCCCACTAACAGTGCAAGAGGGTTCCCCTTTCCCCATGTCCTCGCCAACATCTGTTGTTTCCTAAGTTAATTTTTGTCATTCTGACTGGTGTGAGGTGGTATCTCATCTTGGTTTTGATTTGTATTTCCCTGATGCTGAGTGATGTGGAGCATCTTTTCACATGCCTGTTGGCCATGTGTAGTTCTTTTTGAAGAAATATCTGTTCATGGCTTCTGCCCATTTCTTGAAAAACCAGTTGAGATTTTCTCACCAGTGGATTTTAGGTGAGAGGAGGTTAGTGAGGAGCATTGTAAAAGAAAGAGAGGAACAATGAAAGGGTCAGGGGGAGTTTTCTGTACAGAAGCATGGTGGCCTAAGAGCCTGGTACGTGTTCATATAACTTGGGAAAATTGTGAGTTGTCTTGTGTGTTTGTACTGAGAGTAGACTTGGGAAGAATAGTGATAGAATGAGAAAAAAATTAGCCTGTTATGCTAGAAAGCTTTGACCTTATTAACACAGTAAAAAGAGAAAGTTATTTATGGAGCCTCCTAGGTCATGCTGAAATTGGATCTTCCCACTTAACCTACTGAAGAACCCTGTCTTCATTAGACCCTCAAAATCATTCTGAGGGAGAAAAAACAAAAGATAGGAAATTTTGCAAAGGAAATATCCCAAAGGAATGCAGTGGAAACTGCAAAGAACCAACCAAATTCAGGAGTAGTAAGTACTATGTCCATCACGCTGAAGAGTGTGCTGTAGTAATCATTAGTAAATTTGGTCATGAGTAACTTTTTCTTCTCTACTTTAAAGAGTAGAGAATGGCCTCAGTGGTAGTCAATGCCTAGAGATTATTTCAGTCTCCTATCAGGAAAACAAATCCTAGATTAATAAATCTAAAAACACGTAGCATAGATTTTAGTATGTGAAGGCCCTTTGTAAACTGTGAAGTAGTGTTCAATGAAAGATGTATTTCTGGAAGGTGATTTAATAAAACTTTTACTTATAGACAAGGAGTCCAAAACTTAAATTCTGTATCCAATCTCCTTTTGCACTGAGTTTTAAATTTCTATCATTTTTTTTTCCTAGAGGTTCTGTTGGACAACTCTGAATATATTGTCTCTTGTTTCTTGCTCATATCTACCAGCTTTCATTTCTTGAAACAAAGGTTCAAAGTTACACTAATCTGTCCCCTAGCCTCTCGGCCTCCATCAGCAGGAAAAGTGATGGATCTCTGGTAAAACCTGAACTTCAGCTAAGAACATTCCTTCCCTACCCCTCACATAAGCATTGAAGAGGGAAGCCTAGGACTCTGTAAGCTCTTGAGAAGAGACCCCCTCCCACCATAAGGGTCTTATCACCACCATCTAGCATTCCAATTCCATTTTGCCTATGTCACTGTTTATGTCAAGAAGCAGAAACTCTCAAATCATCCCTCATACACAAAACCCCCATGTGACTCTAAGGACAGTGAGATACTCTAGTATTTTATATCTCTCTCATAGCTTTTCTCCCCACTGCCTGCCATACTATATATTTTATTAGTCTTCTTCTTCTAAAATGTAATCTCCTTAAGAGCCAGGGTGTTTGTTTTGTTAGCTGCTTTGTCTTCAGAGATTAGAATATTATCTGACAAGTAGAAGGTATTCAAAAAAAAAAAAGAATATTTGTTGGGTGAATTAATATTAAAGCTTCTTGAAACGGAAGTGAGTGGCGGGGCCGGCTGACAGTAACAGGGACGAAAGGCTGTTCACAGAGCAAGTGAAGATGAATGCCAGAGGATTTGGATCTCAGCTAAGGACAGTATTCCAGTTACTGAACTTTCAGCAAGTGGACCTTTTTTTTTTTAAAAAGATTTTTTTTTAATTTTTATTTATAATAGTCACAGAGAGAGAGAGGCAGAGAGAGAAACAGGCTCCATGCACCAGCAGCCCGACGTGGGATTCGATCCTGGAGACCCAGGATCGCGCCCTGGGCCAAAGGCAGGCGCCAAACCGCTGCGCCACCCAGGGATCCCCCCAAGTGGACCTTTTGAACAGCATGATCTTCGAAAAGGTTTTCCTTGTGTGAAAAATGAACTATTATTGCCCAGTCATCCTCTTGAATTAACAGAAAAAATTTCCAGCTCAACCAAGATAAAATGAATTTTTCTACACTAAGAAACATCCAGGGTCTATTTGCTCCACTAAAATTACAAATGGAATTAAAGGCAGTACAGCAGGTTCAGTGTCTTCGATTTCTTCCAAGCTTCCTTTCACTAGGTATTTTGAGAGGTAATGATGAGACTATTGGATTTGAAGATATTCTTAATAGCCCATCACAAAGTGAACCACACTTTGGGAGAACCACACTTGATGGTGGAATATAAACTCGGTTTACTGTGATCTGTTGTGCTGTTCATGAAAATAGAGGGGCTGCATGTTGTTTATAGTCATCTTTTTTTTTTTTTTTTTAAGATTTTATTATTCACGAGAGACACAGAGAGAGAGAGGCAGAGACACAGGCAGAGGGAGAAGCAGGCTCCATGCAGGGAGCCCGACATGGGACTGGATCCTGGGTCTCCAGGATCACACCCTGGACTGAAGGCGGCGCCAAACTGCTGAGCCACCGGGGCTGCCCTATAGTCATCTTTTTACTATAATCTTATGTACACAACATTAAAAGTGCTGATGCATGAGAATTTTTGCCTAAATAGTATCTGTGATAATTTGAAATGATTTGGGTCTTTGGTTTATGGCCATGTAACAATTGAAAGCACTAAAGGGAGATGATTTTAAAACTCTCAATTTATATGAAAACAATAGCTTTCTAGTCTTTCAAAAGTTGTTGTTAATGAGTATTTTAAAACTGTACAGGTTCCGATTCAGCCTATTTTCTGGGTATCCCATAACTTTAATTGTGAATACCATGATCAGCATTGAGTCTGCAATGTTCATAGCAGCATCTTTCAGAATAAACATCTGCAATTGATTTCAGTGGCAACACTTTAAATTAAGTACAGGATATTTATATTTTACCTCGTTTCAATATAGCCTCTTGATACTTATTAAGAATAATACTGAATTTATTGGGCAGCCTGGGTGGCTCAGTGGTTTAGCGCCGCCTTCCGCCCAGAGCATGATCCTGGAGACCCGGGATCGAGTCCCATGTCAGGCTCCCTGCATGGAGCCTGCTTCTGTCTCTGCCTCTCTCTCTCTCTCTCTCTGTATCTCATGGATAAATAAATAAAATCTTTAAAAAAATACTGAATTTATTGATGCTATTTTAGAATTGTAGCTATTCTTTGATTCTTTCAGGTTGAAAAGTATAATAAGTTCAAAGGTTTTGATTTTGGTCTTTAAAATGAAAAATTAAGTTAACCAGCATATGTTGATTACACTATTGTACTGCATAGATTTACATATCACAAGATGATTAAATTGAAAAAATTAGAATATCCATGTATGTATCCCTGAACAAATTCCATAATTATTTAAAAATAAATCTTCACTATAAGAATATTAAACCTTATTTCTTTTAAATGATTTGTTATTTTTTTCTAAGATTTTATTTATTTTATTCATGATAGACACACAGAGCAAGGCAGGACACAGGCAGAGGGAGAAATGGGCTCCATGCGGGGAGCCCAATGTTCAATTTGATCCCAGGACCCCAGGATCATGACCTGAGCTGAAGGCAGATGCTTAACTGACTGAGCCACCCAGGCACCCCTGTATGTATTTATTTTATTTTATTTTATTTTATTTATTTTATTTTATTTTATTTTATTTTATTTTATTTATTTATTTATTTATTTATTTATTTATAAAATAATTTTTTATTGGTGTTCAATTTACCAACATACAGAATAACACCCAGTGCTCATCCCGTCAAGTGTCCCCCTCAGTGCCCGTCACCCACTCACCCCCACCCCCCGCCCTCCTCCCCTTCCACCACCCCTAGTTCGTTTCCCAGGGTTAGGAGTCTTTATGTTCTGTCTCCCTTTCTGATATTTCCCACACATTTCTTCTCCCTTCCCTTATATTCCCTTTCACTATTATTCATATTCCCCAAATGAATGAGAACATACACTGTTTGTCCTTCTCCGATTGACTTACTTCACTCAGCATAATACCCTCCAGTTCCATCCACGTTGAAGCAAATGGTGGATATTTGTCATTTCTAATGGCTTAGTAATATTCCATTGTATACATAGACCACATCTTCTTTATCCATTTATCTTTCAATGGACACCGAGGCTCCTTCCACAGTTTGGCTATTGTGGACATTGCTGCTATAAACATCAGGGTGCAGGTGTCCCGGCGTTTCATTGCATCTGAATCTTTGGGGTAAATCCCTAACAGTGCAATTGCTGGGTCGTAGGGCAGGTATATTTTTAACTCTTTGAGGAACCTAATTTTAAAGATTTTATTCATTTGAAAGAGAGAGCACGAGCAGGGGAGAAGGGCAGAGGGAGAGGGAGGAACAGGCTCTCTACTGAGCAGGGAGCCTGATGTCAGGCTCAATCTCAGGACCCCCGGATCATGACAACTGGCTGAGCCACACAGGTGCCCGTCTGTGTTACTTTAGATTATAGTAAAAGGCAATTTTCAGCTCCACTCAGAATTAGAAGGTAGTTTCTAAAACCACTTTTTTGTTCACTCTCTGAGTTCCACTTCGGTTTTATTTGAATGAAACTTTTCCCCCAAAGATGCCCACATCACTGGGGATTAGTTATGAAAACCTTGAAGATTAATGATTAAATTGCATTGGCAGTGAGAGGAGCTCTCAGAATCTATCCCAGCAACTTCAGTGTTTGTCAGGAAGTGTCTGATGCAAATTAGAATGTTTCAGACCTGAACCTGCTCCTTTTCTTCTTTCTGCATTTAAAAAAAAAATATTTTATTTATTTATTCATGACAGACACAGAGAGAGAGGCAGAGACACAGGCAAAGGGAGAAGCAGGCTCCATGCAGGGAACCCGATGTGGGACTAGATCCCCGGTCTCCAGGATCACGCCCTGAGGCAAAGGCAGGCACCAAACTGCTGAGCCACCCAGGGATCCCCCATTTTTCCTGCATTTTTTTGAGCAGGGTGACTCCTTGTGTGTCCAGGTCCAGAGAAGTAAATAAAATTCAAAATGGCATAACAGCTAGGGACCACAGCATGGTGGTCAGCATGAATTGTGATAGTGCCTGGAAGTTCATCCTTCCCCTAGACTTTCCCATCCCACTTAGAGGTCAAGAGGCCAAAGTCCATTCCGTGCCCTGACTTCTACTGTGGCTTCACCCTGCTCTTAACCGAGGTTTATATACAAGAGAGAAAAATATCTAACTTAAAAAGATGCAGTCTTAACTCTGTTTTATTTCTTTAATACCATAGTCTATAGTATCTTATTTCTGATTCCTTTTATTATTTATAAATCTTCTCTTGAGAATATTTTCTGTTTACTGGAAGTTTTAAAGATCAGATCCTCCCAGGTTCAATGCTGCCAGCAAAGGCAGAGTGACCTTTTAGCATTACTTTAATCTTCAGGAGGTCATGAGGGTCTGAGCCTCAGCTCCTCATCTCAAATTTTTGTCAATTCTGAGAATGGGCCTTTAAGAGATGAACTCACATTGTCCAAGCTTATCATATGTATAAAATGATTTATAAATCTAGAATGTTGATATATCACATATGTGATCTTAGCAAGTTCCACTAGAAAATAAGTTCCACAAAAGGCAAAGTCAGTTCTCTGCTATATCCCCAACTGATAGTTCAGTGTGCTATATGTTAGGTGTTCAGCAAATATTTGAATGCACGGTTTAATCCCCAATTGTCAGTTTTCTTTCTGTAATTAAAGTGCCATATATCTGATTGATTGTTTTGAGAATTTTGAGAGCTAATTTATAAGCATTTAGCATGGTATGTGCCACAAAGTAAGCATTCAGTAAATTTCTTATCAAAGATTACTTATCTAGGGCAGCCCCGGTGGTGCAGCAGTTTAGCTCTGCCTGCAGCCCAGGGTGTGATCCTGGAAACCTGGGATCGAGTCCCACATCAGGTTCCTTGCATGGAGCCTGCTTCTCTTTCTGCCTGTGTCTCTGCCTCTCTCTGTGTGTGTTTGTGTCTCTCATGAATAAATAAATAAAATTTTTTAAAAAAAGAGGTAAAATATCTGTACTATATCTGTATTTTTAAAAAATTACTTATCTATTAAGTTTTTATTTTGTTTTTTACTTATTTTACTTGAAATGAAACAACAATTATACTTGCTACAAATTATTGTTTTACTTCTCACCCGTTTTGGGGGAAATTAGTTTGAAATATAAAAATGTGTATTGAGGGGATCCCTGGGTGGCGCAGCGGTTTGGCGCCTGCCTTTGGCCCAGGGCGCGATCCTGGAGATCCAGGATCGAGTCCCACGTCGGGCTCCCGGTGCATGGAGCCTGCTTCTCCCTCTGCCTGTGTCTCTGCCTCTCTCTCTCTCTCTCTGTGACTATCATAAAAAAATAAATAAATAAATAATAAAAAAATAAAAATGTGTATTGAATACTCACTGTGTGGGTTACAAACACAATGTTTGTGCCACATAGAAACTGTTAATCCAGTGAAGGATATAGACTTACAACATGACTGTATATAATACAAGGCTGCTTATGGAGCTGTAGAAAAAGACACTGCACAGGGCTGGGTGCAACCTGAGGAAGGGGAGTCCAGCTGGCAGGAGGGTATAATGTCTGTTTGCTAACAAACTGAAGCTTATGATGAACAGGAAAGCATATTCCTGATGCATAAAAGAAAAGTGATGGTTTAGGGGTGCTTACGTGGCTCAGTCGGTGAAAGCATCCAATTCTTAGTTTTGGCTCAGGTCATAATTTCAGGATCATGGGATTGAGCCCTGCCTCAGGCTCTGCACTCAGCTCAGAGTCTGAGATTCTCCCTCTATCTCTGCCCTTCTCAGTCGTCATTTCTTTCTCTCACAAATCTTGAAAAAAAGAAAAGTGATATTTAAAAGATGGTTTAATTTTTAAAAGGTTATGGTTAATGTAAATTTTGTTTTTGTTGCTTCATATTCTAATTCTTCCTTTATAATCCATATAGAGTGTTGTGTGGCAACTCAGAATTAATCAGATTGTTTAATCAGTTGAAATATTGCTTTTCAAACTATTTTAGACACATTTTGATCTGTGTTCTACCAACAATAATATAGTTCTACCAAGTGACATCCTTTCATTGTATAAAAATAAAACTAAAAATTAAAAAATATACATATATATAAATATCTTTTTTGTTTGTAATTTATAATCACACTATCCTTTGGCAAGTGGAGAAGGAGATCAATAGAGGTGTAGGTGTCTCCTCCATGTGCCAAGGTCCAGACATGTGTTTCCTTGTCGTCCCTTTCTGTGCAGCAGCTTTCTTTCCTGTTCCTCATTATATTGGAAATATGGCCTTCTTTGCATTTCCAGGTGTATTAGATTCCCCCCCCCCTTTTTTTTTAGATTTCCCCATTTTGGGAGACTTTAGCTTCTGAGCTGATTT